AGAAAGTTAAGTTAACTTCTCCAAAAGTCATTTTATAGAACAAAGATGACAAGTTCTTCTTCCTAAGCTATGGATCAACCTACTGATTTCTGCTACATGATTTATGGAGAAAGCTACTTTTGACTGATCAAATTCTAAACTTAATAGGCACATAACTTGGTGAAAATTTAAAAATCCTTCTTATTACAGAACATTTCAAGCATATACAAAAGTAGACAGAATTGTATAGCAAATCCCCTTGTCACCATCACCTAGATTAAAACTATCAAACTGTAGCCAGTCATGTTTCACAAAACTGCTTCACATATATTTCTAACCTCTCCCTCCATTTCTATTATTATTTTAAAGCACCATATCATTCGGTAAGTAATCATTTCTGCTAAAAGATAATAGTGATTTTATTTCTAAAACATAAGCATAGCACCAGTATGACCTATTTTTTTAAACAGAATGTAAATTCACTGATGTCATTTGGTTTATATTCAAGTCTCCTACTATTTGTCATAAATAATTTTGCTTTTTAAAAATATGTTATTAGTTTTCATTTTTGGAGGCATACTAGTGTTTGACTCACATTTATTCCAAAATTTCTCATTACCTGAGTATTAATTTCTGTCTTCTCATATTTTCCTAATGGAATATAAAATTTCCTTGGCAAAGATCCCACATGATGAGTTTTATTATTTCAACTATTATTCATGTAAAGTGAAAGTCTGACACTAGGTGGCATTGCATAGCTTGTAATTTTGTCCCAGTTTATAAAATGAAAAGAAAAATAAGTTTTCCTGGAGTTTTCCCTGATGTTCAACTCCACAATTTTTTTTCTAATGAAAGGACTGTAAAGTTGAATTGACTGAATTTATTACAATTTTTGGAAATAGAATTAATTGATTTTTATACTGTCTGAATGTATGCCTCTTTTTCCTAAAGATGCATGTGGTTCTTAATCAAAAACACATTTCAAGTGCCTAGGTATATTTAGTTCATTGTATCAGTTGTTTGGGAATCAAAATACATTATAACATGACTCCTGATTTCAATAATATCGTAAATAATTTTCGAGGAAAGATTAAAAGTCTATAAAACACATCATAAGACAATGATCAGTCCTGGTAGTTGCTTTTACAGTAAATCAGTAAAAGGAAGATCTGTGAGGCTCAGAGACATCTTGTCTTTGACAATTCCTTAGAACAACTAAGAGCAACACTGATCCTTGTGACAGCACAGTGCTTGATAAGAAGGGAGAAAGAAATGGTGCTGGAATGGAGAAAGAGCACAAGCACATTCCTGGAATTCTCTTTAACACATGATTACATTCTCAGGATTTTCTAGTATGGAAATAGTCTTTTCAAGTTGAATGACCCAGAAACATGTATAATATCAAATACTCTTCCCTTAGGTACCTAATTATGAATATATAATAAAATTTTACTGCATATGGTGTCTATGGCATATATAAGCTGCTTCTCAGCTTCCCGAAGTTGAGAAGGTAGTCATGGCAAATGAAAACCTCAGCACACTGATTTTCTTATTCCTAGGCACTGGGAAAAATGCACACTTTGCAATAACATATTTATACCAATGAATTAACTTAAAATTCATTGTACTAACGGCTTTGCCATAGAACGTGTCATATGACTTGAAATATTCCATAAGTTGACATCACATAGAAGGGGACTAAGGTAGAAAGGAGAAAAATAGAGGGGATGAACCAATTTTGGTCATAATACATATACACATGAAAATGTCACAATGAAACTCCTTGTATAGCTATCTTAAACAAATAAGAATGTCTTTTTTCAAAAACAGAGAACATAAAACAGGTCCTGTCTGAGGGTTGATGCCAGTGGGAGGGGGGAGGATATAAGGGAAGGGTGTAGGAGGGTGAATATAGTGGAAATATTATGTGCTCATGAATGAAAATGGAAAAATGAGATTTATTGAATCTATTCTAGGAATGAGGGGAGAAAAGGGGGTAAAGGAGAATGTTGGAGAGGGTGAATGCAACTATCATATATTGTAAGAACTTTTGTAAATATCACAATGCAACCCAGTACAATAATGTAATAACAAAAACAAATAAATAAAAGAAGGAGTAAAATAGACCTTAAATTGTGTGCAGAAAAAGGAAAATCAGAATGAGAGAGGTCCTTCATTGGGCAGAAGTAATAATATTAACTGATACCATCACGTAAGTAGACACTCTGTGTGATGTTTTATCGCCTTGTCTATCAAAGGGAAAATCTCTAAACTGGAAATAACACACATTATAGGAAAGAACTGAAGCTTAACACAAATGAGTAGATAAAATCACAGTTATTTATGTAAATAAATTCTACAATAGATTTTTTAAACAAATGATTGAGATTTTTCTCAGGAGGAGGGACTTTCTGATTACTTTTAGAAATGGCAATCATTTCATAGTGGGACTGTCTACAAAGCAAGTCTGTGCATGAGTAAGATACACCTAGCGAGAGGGGATGCTATCAAATTGTGCCTGTACTAAACTTGGCTGTGCTTCATTGGGTCTGAAGCTGTCTGTCTAACTCAGTGTTATTGATGCTCAAAGCTCAATATTAGGCCTCTCAAATTTACTATGGTGAGAGACTTCCTCCTCTAGTCATTTATGTTCATGTCACACTGGTTAAATATATAGGTTGGAGTGTGAGTGATGATTCAAAGTAGGACTTACCTTGCTCTGTGTTTGCTTTCCAGATGAAGCCTCCTCCACATAGCAGTGTGCCACAGCTGGTACTCATGTACATGTTACCATCAGTGACCTTTCCTAAAGTCCTAGCAAAGTGGCACGCATTGCGTTCTCACTTGTCTTCTTTTACCACTCCCGTGCTGGCTCACATACTCATTGCTCTTTTCCCACCCTCTGATTCAGTCTGTTGCTTTTTGTGGTATTCCAAAGTACTCCTTTACTTTCCTCACCAAAATACTAACCCTGTTTACCATTCTAACTCGAAGGATAATTTGCCTCCTTCAACACCACCTCAGACCTTTTTGTGATGACACTAGGGCTTGAATCCATAGCCTCATGCTTGCTAGGCAGGTGCTCTACCACTTAAGACACTTGCACAATCATTTTGCTTTTTTTAGTTTGTTTTTCAGATAGCATCTCAAGTTTTTACCTGGGCTGTCCTCAGACAAGCTTACCTACCACCTCTGTGTAGCTAGGATAACAGGCATGCATCACCATGTCCAGCTTATAAATTGAGATGGATCTTGCTAGCTTTTTGCCTGGACTACTCTCCTGACCACAATCCTCCTGACCTCTGCTTCTGGAGTAGTTGGAGTTACAGGTGTGAACCACTGTACCTGGTATACCTCTTTTCTTAAAGTACTAACATAGAATTTTAATTCTATGTCTCCAGTTTCAAAATAGTAGAGAAATTTATTTAAGAAATAAAACTCATGTCTTCCATATAATAGCAATGGGAAATTTTCTTGAGTTAATATAATATTTGGGACTATCTAACCTTTGCTCTGTGCCAGGGATTGTTCGAGGTGTTTTATACTTGGTAACACATCTAAACTCACAGTAAACTTTGAGAGTAGGTACTTTTATTATCTCATTTTACACATGAGAGACTGAGGAAGAGCCTAATAACTTGCTCAAGTTTATCAAACTAATCAGCATCTGGCCAGGTGTGCAAATCCATCCAATTTGGCCTTAGAGGTCAGGTTCCTAACCACATTGACTCTAAACCACTGTTTGTCGAAGTGTGTTCCCAGACCACCATCACCTGGGGACCTGTTAGCAATGCTATCCTCACATCTCATCCAAAACCCACTGAGTCAGAAACTCTTGAGCTGGGCCCAGTGATGTGTTTTAACAACTACGCCAGATAATTCTAATTTCCATTCACATTTTTTGTTTGTTTCTGGCAGTACTTTGGTTTGAATTTCCAGACCTTTATCACTTGAACCATGCCCCCAGCCTAATCCGCTCAGGATTGAGAACTTCTTCAGAAAAAAAGTGGCAGAATTGGTAGAAGAGATTCTATTTTTTTTTCTCTAATAGCAAAACATATCTAGTTTTTCCTTTTCCCAGCAACTTTTAATCCACTTCAGTTACAATTTGTTGCAATTCAAATAATGACATACTTTTTTTGGTTTAAGAGTCAAAGAGGATTTTATAGATTCAAATAGGCATATAAGCAATGAAAGATATTACAAAAAATATTTTCTTCTCCAAAGCAAGACTAGTTGAGACCTTTAAAGAAGATCTTGAATTCAGAGCTAACAACAAATGCCCCAGCCACATGGTGCTGCCATATTCCAGGCAAGATTCCTGTTTTCCTTCCTAGATTTCACTGTTAGCAACTTTCCCACCATTCTCCCCAGGAGTGAGTTGTCAGTTCAGGAGGTTGAAAAATATTTCTTTATTTTGTTTAAAAAAAAAAGACATATGCACACATAGACAATCCAAGAGACCTTGGATTGTCTATGTGTGCATATGCAACCAACTCAATTTGCACCTTATCATTTACCCACCCAAGGTTAAAAGCAAAATAAGACCTTACCAGGATATCTGGGACATGCTGCGGTATACACTTTCAACATTTTATTTATTTTCCTGTTGAGTCTCTTTGAAAACGAGTTATGTGTTCCCAAACAACTAAATTAGTTTACTCTGTCAAGTCTTGAACTAAATCAGGATACTTTTCCTTATCTCAACCAGTAGATTCCTCATGACCAAAACATTGGTTAGCCAAATGAAGTCTTAGAATTTTTGTTCTTATTTTTTAAAGTACAACTTGCATCTCTATGCAAGTATTAGTTACCAAGATGTGTTAACATCACAGTATTTTTAAGTACACAAGCCTTAGAAAGAGAGATGCCCTATCTATCCAACATCAAAATTAGTCTCACATGTCCTGGGATGAGCCATGGGGAGAAAATTGCCAGAAAGAGGGATATTAAGCACACAAAACACAAGTAGTTCACTGAGTCCATGTCGAGAAACAAATATTCCATGATTGTCCCCCTCTTTATTGTTTCTTTTTGAGGCAAGAAATTCTCCTGAATGGTTGTTGGAGCTTAGAATTACTCAGGATGATTATAAATGAATGACCAGCAGGAAACGCTGCCATTATTTCCTTCACCACAAAGAATTGATGACTTCTGTAAGGAATTCTAAATGTCATATTTGCCATAAAGGCAGCAAAATATGAAATAAAGAAGCAAAAGAATGTTATTATTGTTCTTAAGGCATTGAGATGAGCTTCTGTCTTGGCATTTGAAAAACCATGAGCTCCACTTTGCATCCGATGAGTGTGCTTGTAAAGAGAAATGAATAACATAGAAGTACACATCACAAATATGGTGAGAGGAAGTACTAGTGCCAAGTTAACAAGAAGCAAATCATTATTTTTCTTTGTATTGACTGTAGTCCTGTTTTGTGTGCTGTTTTTGAAGATACCATCATACTCAGTTTTAGGTAACTCTACCACAACGCATACAGCTGCAGTGCCCAAAGAGGCCAGAAAGCTGACCAGAAGTAACCAAAGTATGAGCTTTGAAATCCTGAATTTCAGCCAAAGGAAATAGGTATGAGTGAAGCCTGAAATCTTGAGGCAGTAAAATACACAAAGGCAGGTGGCAAACCAGAGACTGATAGCACTAAACAACATCCAAAAGAACATCATCTTTGCATTATAAATATTAGCATCATAAGCAAGTGGAAAGAACACAGAGAAAAAACATTGTACCATTAGCATCGTCTGCAGGCCAAATCTAGATATCCCTATACACAGTAAGAGAATTTCCATTGGTATTAGCTTTCTGCTTTTGACCAAATCATTACAGTTCATGATTATAAGAAACCCATTTACTATAATCCCTATGAAAAATTCTGCTGACATGAGGATCATATGAAAAATAGTTGACAACGAGGTCATGTTTCTTACAATGAATCTTAGCGTTTCCTTATGAATGGTCTTAACTATCTTCTTCTGGTGGACTTGATATAGAAACACACAATGCAAAGGAATTTGATCTTCTGTCAACTTCTGGATCATCAATAGTCTTATGTTAGGTTTTCTCATAGCAGGAAAGTCAGAGAGACTACTTTTTGAATCTGGTGCTCTTCATGTGATACTGTAGGAATGCAAATCCAAACATTTGAATGATGGTTAGATCTTCCAGTTACATTGTTGAAAAAGTTGCCATGTCTGACCTAGTCCATTCTCATTCTTACTCAGTTTTTGCAACCCTTCCCCACAAAAAAAACCTGATTATAAGTAAATTTCACTTAGGTTACTGCTATTTTGTTTTTGTCTTTCATTTTTTTTCCTAATGTCAAATGCAGCAATCTTAGGACAGATGCTTATTTCTTGTTATTGACACAAATATCCAATCTCAGATGGCACTTTTCCTAAAAGACAAAGCTTTTTTGTATTTGTTGTTGCAGCATGCTTTTTACCTTAGAAACTTCTGGGACACTTTAATAAAAATTTCCCTCTTTTACTTTACTCTCACCAAAGGTAATTTCCTCATCAGACTTAAATATTAGTTCCTGGGGTATAAAGGTTTTTCAACATAAATATCCTTCTTTTCCCTAAATATAAAATGTTTTCCACTGTGTTCTTGATAGAGAATATTGATGTTAGGATTAGCAAACCAGAGCTATAAAAGTAATGTATAACTCATCACATGCTCACATCATTCTGTACTCTGTTGAAGAACTATCTCAGGTAGATAGGATAAAAACTTTTAAACACTAACAGAGGGCGTAATTACCAAGTTAAAAAGAGCTTCTTTTATTAAAAAGAGGTGTTCAACATCTTTCAGTACACTTTCTTGCAATTGTTTTAAGTGGTGTGTGGAAGGAGCTGTGGGGGAAAAACAATGGGGGCAATGTAACTAATGTACAATGTAAGTCTAATTGGAATTGTCATCATGAACCCTCCCCAGTATCATGAATATATTGTAATAAAAATTTATTTTTAAATGTCTCAAAGTTTAGAAAACTGGTGGTAAAATGTAATTGATTCTTATCTTCAGAAATACAAATAAATCATGTGCCAATGATAAAAAAGAGATGTTCATATAACTTTTCTGACCTTTGTTTACATCAGATGTAAAATGTAATTAATTATGACTACATAATAAAATATGTCTCATGGGTGGTTCATATTGAGTACTCAACGAATGTTAGATGCTATTAGTGTCTTTAAATATCTGTCCTGGTAATGTGCTTTACAAGAGCAAAAAAAATAGTGATTCTATAAAGAAATATTTTCAACAAGAGGCTAAGTGTTAAAAATAGAGAAAGCAAATAAGTAGATTTGTCACCCATTCTCCATACTGATTATGGTTTTTAGTGATCCCTCGTGTCATCCACAAAACATAATCCACTATCTGATAAGACAAATCTCAATGCCATCTGTGTAACTTTTCCCAGCAGCCTCATTATTCTCTTACCAATCTTCTATACATTACACCTATTCAAAATGTAGCAAGACTAATCTCATCTTTGTCTTTTCTACAGTTCTGGTTTGATGATTCATGTGATGACCCTTGTTTTCACTTTGCCTCCAGTTTTTGGTGTAGTTTTTTACTTTTTGTCTATAAACTCTAGCTTTGCCCTGCAAGTGCTATTTGCCTTACCTCTTGTCCTCCTAAAGACATTCATACTTCTGTGTGCAGATAAAGAAACTTCATTTCAGTTCCAAACTCTACCACAGTGTCATGACTGTGGGATGAAGGAGAGATAACTGGGAGTCCAAGAGTTTATACATTACTGTCCTTAGTTATTTCTTGAGACTGGATTGTAAATACTAAATATTTGCATTTAAAAAGATATGATGATTGAGTTTCAAATACTGGAAACCTATGTTGAATTTTAGTTCATAGATAAAATAAAAATTTAATCAATCTCAGTCATCCATTTTTCAAAAATTCTGTTTGTATTAACATTTTCTTATAGGTGTGCTTCATTGAATAGTCTTGCTGAGTTAAAAGTTCTTGAGCAAAGAAAGGGCAGCGATTTGGCATATGCACACTAGCTGGACAGCCTGTACATGCCAAGTTATTGTAGAGTTAGACTAAAATCTCAGAAATTATACTGAATATTTGGGCTGGGGATATAGCTCAGTGGTTTAGTGTTTGCCTTGCATGCATGAGGCCCTGAGTTCAATCCCAGTACCACCAAAAAAAAAAAAAAAAAAAAAAGATATATTAATACATTTCCAAATAGCAATGTGGATGCTTGTATATTTCAATTATCTTCACCATAATAATCATGATTTGGATATACAGCCGTTAATCTTCCTGCTTCTCCATTTTTTATTTTTATCTCAATTTCCCATGGTAAACTAGGACGAAAAAGGCTGGAATTATATGTGGAAACTTTTGTTAGCAAAAAAAAAAAAAAAGCATTAACACATTGTAACCAAAACAAGTTCTCTGGTGATAATATTTTGTAAACATGTCATTGTTAAAATTGCAGTTTTTGTAATATCTACTTCAGAAAGTGTTTATACTATGGATATAATTTTTAAGAAGCTGTTTTGAATTTCACTTCATAGATAAGTACATAATCTAAGCTAGAATTTATCTCCATTGAGAATACAAGAGCTTTAAAATTTCTGAGTTAGTTTCAAATCACCTGGTATGTGTCACATTTGTACAAGTGCAGCTGGCTGTATGGACTGTGGGCTAAATGATTCTGCTGTAAGATTTGAATTTACCCAGAGCTTATTTCATTCTGAAATCCCAGATTCTGCCTCTCATTTGCCTCTCTAAACACACCATTTAGTTGAAAGCTTGACTTTTGCAAGAACGATTTTAAAAGTATAGTCAACATTAAGCTACCATTTAGTTAGTTTGTATTTGCATTTGTGATTTTCCTGTCATATGGGTACTGATTTGCATTTGCCTAGTCCAATCCTCTTTTGGAAACAGAGTTTCTCAGACCTAGCAAAAGTTCATGGTGAGTGCTCATGGTGAGTCTTAACATTACAAATGCACATGACTGTTAGAGATTTAGAAAAGGCATTGACTTAAATGGGAGACGTCATTTTCTGATTAAGCAATGTTTAAAGTTTTATTAAATAATAGATTTCGAAGAAAAATAATTTCTAATAAGAAGCACTGAATATTCATAATTCATAATTTAATTTCACTTGAATAACTGCCTTTCAATCAATATATATTCTTCTAAATTCATACATGGTTTTGAGAATTGACATACTTCAATGAAGTTTTTTACTGTCCCTTTTTTTGAGCAATGTGGTAGCAGAATTTTCTGACTTTAAATTGATCCTCATAAAAGAGTTGGAAAATTAGGATGTACTCACAGAGAGCTACTTGTTTGCTTCCTATTGAGTATAACTGCACATATCTGAATTTTTTAAAACAAGTACAAATATTAGGCTATGTACTTCTAGATCACTGAGGAAGAATAAAGCTATATTTATTCTTTCAGTTGGAAATGTTTTTGTTTGTAATTTTTCCTGCTACCCTGGTTTTACTATTAAACTTTAGGAAAGAGAATTGACTTTAAAGATCGAATCCTTTGTAAGTCCAACTAAATTCATTGGATTACCAGTTTAATTCTGTGAAAATACTCAGTATACTTTTTAGGCTTCTGTAAAGTACTGACTTGAAATTTTCACTTGCATTGTCTTCTTTTTTTATTATGTGATTCCAGGACATAACAGGAGGGGTCTGTATGGTCTTAAAAAAGATTCCCCATTCACATATTTGCGGTATTTCATTCACTGTTTCCTTCCTGAAACCATACTCTGATCACTGGAGAAACAGTGTTTAGAAATCTTTATACTATGTCTTCATATTTTTTTACATTCAGTACTGTTTGTCTTTTATTTTGAATTCATTTCAGTTTGTCTCTGTGGATAGTGAGCTTGGAGACAAAGTAAGGTTTTTTGTTTTGTTTTGTTCTGAGTTTCCTCCCCAAGCTCTACAATGATATCAAGTACCAGGTAGGTAAAGGAGAATTCAAACACAGTGATCATCAGGTTCATAATTCAAGCTGAAAAAATTATTACCATAGTTTTTATGTTACAAGATTCTTCTCTGAAAAACAGCAGACATAAGATTAAAATTATAAAAGTTGATGAAATTTGATAGTTATATTTGGATTTGACAGTAATTTATCAGTTTGTCATAATATTAGGAAATAATTATTGTGTTCTTAAAATATGTACTGGTTATTCTAAACATATACTATCTTATCATTCTTACTACAGAACTTTGTAATGACCTCATTTGATGAAGACAAGTGAAGTGCAGAGACTGAAGCTTGAGGATGGTGTAAATAAGGGTTTGAATACAGGTGGTCTGACTCCTCGTGAGGCCACATTGTTCACTAAAATATCACAGTATATTCCAATTAGAATATTTGCTTCACCAAAATTGTCAGGGAAAAAACATAAAATCAACTGAGAATGAGTTTAATGACTATGATACTTTTCTTCCCTATACATACAAATAGGAAACCGCTAAATTTACTACATTTATTTAGGAGGATGTCTGTGAAGTGATGAAACTGCAAAGTATCAGCCTTGGCTTGTTAGCAAATCTGAGTGCACCAGATGCCATGGGACTAAGGCTGGCAAATAGCGTAAAAATCCAATAGTGAGTATTCATTAAATATTATTGATGAAATGATCTATGGGAAATCAGGCACAATTGAGGTCATATGAAAATGATAGACTTTCTAGAATTTTATACAAATACTATAAGAGAGGTTTCAGATGTCATCACCAATAGCTCTATTTTCTAGAGGAATAAATTATGGAATCCTAAGGGTTAAGTGATTTATTTAAGATTACTGGAATAAACACTAGCAGAAATCTCATGTCCCTTCAATTTTCTGAGGTTAGATTTTCTACTAGGTAAAGCAAGTATATAGGGGAGGAAGAAAAATGTACAG